GCAGGAGGCTGTGGCTCTGAACCCCAGCACCATCAAATAATATATGCATAAATTAAATGAAGAAATGTGAAAAATGTGGTGTTTTTGGCAGGGGAATTGAGCCAGAAGCCTTGCCCTAACACTGAGCTCTATTCCCAGCCCCTTTTCTATTTGTTTTGTTTTTGTTTTTTGGAACCAGGGATCGAACTCAGGTCCTTGTGTTTGCGCGGCAGGGGCTAGAACCACCGAACTAAATCCCAGGCCCTTTTTCTATTTTCATTGGGCAGAGGTTGTCACTAACTTGCCTTGAGGGGGCCAGGGATGCAGCTCAGTGATGCTGATGCCTGCCCTGCAAGTACAAGGTCCTGAGTTCCATCCACGGTACTGGAAAAAAATATGGCTACAGGTTCATGCTTGCTTCATCAGCACGAATACTAAAACTAAATTGCCTTGAACTTGAGTGCCCCTGTCTTGTCCTCCAGAGGAGCTGGGATTGCAGGAGTGTGCCACTGGGCGTTTCTGAGATTTGGTTACTAATAGGTTTGTGTAATATTTTTGTTGTTCAGCTCCTTATTTATGGAAAGTAACAAAGATTAGGGGAGGAAACAGGAACATTTTTATGTAAGCAATAAATAGTTTGACATCTGTAAGGCCCAAGAGCTTGTTTACTGTGTTGTTTTGGCCACAGGAGCCTTTGAGTCCCTGTGTGCCTCACAGTAAACACAACCCCTGAGCCACGGGTTAAGGGACCAGGATTGAGGCTGTCGCCTTCCCGATAGTGGCTCTGAGTGTCTCATGCCACCACCACCCCTTGCCACCAAGACTTTCTCCCCGTTCACCTTAAGGAGAAATGGATGAAGATCTCTGTTGCTTTTGGGAGTCACCAAGATGCCAGAAGCGGCCTGGTGCCCCGAGACCATGAGAACTGCTTTCTGCACGCCCCAAAATCTGTCCACTGGAGTCAGCTTCCTGAGTGACCGGATCTGCACGGCCGCTTGCTCAGGCCCTGGGAAATCACCAGAGAGCACCCTGGTGAGGTCTGATGGTTGTGCTGGTGCTTTCTAAACCTGGGGACGTGACGTAGTGACCAAGCAGGATGAATCCCTGAAGTGGCTGAAGTTGAGACTGAGGAAAACCTGGGCAGCAGGGAGGAAGGAGAGCAGCAGCCACCTTCGCTCCAGGAGGCACCGGCTGCCCGCTACACAGCATGGCTCCTTTCGGCCTGCATCGAGATGTGCTGGAGGAAGCAGACACGGAGAACAAGAAAGCTTATTTTATTAAAAATAATAAAGCTATACCACTGTATAAGTGGGGCCATCACACTGGGTCGGTGCTTAGGGCAGCGAGGGTTTCTTCGGGCTGGGTTTCTACGGGGCTGGGCCGACTTTTCCTGACGGGGGTGACTCGTGTGCTCCTGACCGCCCCTCTGCTCCCCAAGCATGCCAGGACTCGTTTCCGGGCCCAGCGGAAGGCCTGCCTCCAGTGGACGCATGTGGTCTGTGGGTCAGATCCGTTGTCGTCCTTGTGTAACTCCCCCGAGGAGACCGAGGGGGACCCCTGGCTGCTGGTCTTCAGTTTCTGCCGAGAAGAGGAGCACGAGTGAGACAAGTGTAACCCCCGGCAGTGCAGCCAGTGCTTCCTCAGTTATGGAACTCAGTTCCTTTGACTAGAAATAGCGCACCTGTAACGGCCAGCCCCAAAATCAACACTGGAGCACACAGGCCATCAAAAAACTGTTTTTTGCTTGCTTGTTTTTTGGCATAACGATTCACCCTTGTCTTCCTAGTCTCCATCTCTCTCAGCGCTCCTTGGTGTTTTCTCTACATCTCCTCCCTGGCTCCTTCCCTTCCTGCCCTCCTCCCCTGCACATCCTGTCAGACACCCGGGGTCCAGCCCTGCTGTACAGAAGACAGTGTTGCCCCACGCTGTCCAACCTGGCGCCTCTGCTGGGCCCGTCTCGACCTCTCCTGGGAGGCAGCTCTGTGCTCACCTCCGCAGGTTCACCTTCTGGGAGCCCTGCCGGCATCTGGAGGACTTCTGCGAGTTCGGGATTCTCTGGGGGTTTGCACTCGGGCAGGTCCTCAGGTGGGACCCGAGCGGGAGGAGGAGAGCAGCTGCTGCCCAGCTGGAGGTTTTCCTCAGGTGGTGCTCGGATCTGGAGGGCGTCGTCTTTGCCAGAGTCGTGGTTTTGTGTTTCAGCGTCCTGAGCGTCTTTGTGGCTTTGTGTTTGTTTCTTCTCTGGGATCTCACTGCTCTGTTTTTCATCCTCGTCTTTGGGATCAGGTAGCCGGCGTCATCAGATCTTTCAGACGCCTGGATTTGCTCACCAAACTCGGCATGCTCTTCTTCATGACCCTGGATTTCTTTCTTGTTGTCAATCTGTCATTTTCTTCTTGTTCACTTGACTCCATCAGCACCTTTCCATCTTGGTTTTTGCAGTTTGCAAGTAGTTCATCATCTTCCTGATGCTCATCCTGGCTGCTTTTGATTTCCGCCTTTCCCTCCGCATCCTTAGTATCTTCCGTTGCTACTTCCTCCGTGGGTTCAGGACCAGGGAATTCGGGCCAGCCATCTATGGGGTCAGTGCGTTGTCCTGTGAATCCTGGGTTTTGACATATCTTCTGGTCACTGTCAGTGACTGCTTTCTCAGCTCCTGCACCCTCACCCAAGACTCTGTCTGCATGGTCTTCCAAGTCCGTGCTTGTTCCATTCGTCGGCTTGGGGTTGTCCGCGAGGTCATATTCTCTATCCGTGAATCTTCCTAGATGTTGTGGGTCCTCCGGTTCTTCCACAGTGGGGATGTTGTCCATCGTAGAACCTGCGACACAGCCTTCATAGAAGGTGGTTGTCTCTTCCCTACAGGGGTGACGTTGGAATGTGGTGCCGGGATCTTGATGGACGGTGTTGGAAGCAGGGAGATCACCCCCTGCAAGTCTCTCCACGGAATTTACTTTCAGGTTGAGTGCTCTGAATTCGAGCACTCGCTGCTGGGGTTTGGGGTTGCCATCATATTATAGGGTTATATATTCTGTCTCCGTCAAGTCCGGAGTCTTCAGAGGAAAATGAAGACAAGACATTGGGGAGAAGAGCAGAGTCATGTACTTAAGAAATGAAGAGTATGTGGACACACACACAGACAGACTTTCTGCTGAGGTGTGCTGTACACTTACCATTCTGTCTAAAGAACACCTCCTTTGTTGGCAGAAGCGTGAAGGACAGGGGAATCGCTTCCCTGTTTTATTTTGGAGTCTAAGATGACCCATGTCCTCAGGGAATTCACAGCCTCTTAGAGCAGATACAAATCAAGTGAGTGGTAGAGGCCAGGGTGTACATGCAGCAGAAGAGCTTACAGATAATGTCGTGAGAGGCCTTAGAAGGGCCCCCCACGCCGGCAGGCTGGGAGTGGGCAGGAGACCAGGAGTCACCTCCTGGGACGAGGTCTTGGAGGGGCCACGTTATGGAGGAAGTAGAAGGGAGGCAGGCATGGTGGCCCAGGCCTATAATCTCAGCTCTCCAGGGGCTGGGGAAGGACGATTTAAATTCAGGCCTGTCTAGACCGTGTAGGGAGCCCTGGGCGCAAAACAAAACCAAAGAACACAAAAGAGAAGAAGTAGTAGGCATGTGGGGGAACCCTTTCTTGTGCCCATTGATTTCAGGCCCTGTCTGTCACTGTATTTCTGTTGTGGGACCTTTGGATGTAAGTTCAGACATACAGTATGTTGGAGACTTAGGAGAGTCCATACCAAATTGCTTTCCAGAAAGCTTATATCAATTTACAGGGTCACCATCCCACAGCTAATGGCATAATTAGCCTACCTTTTCCCGTGAGGCTCTAGCTATTAAGTGTGCATGGAAGAGCAGGTGGGCACACACATTCACACACACTCCCAGACTGCTGTGCACTGCCCAGATGGCTGCCTACCTGATAGATAAGCTCTAAAAGTCTTCAGTCTTGAACAGGTTATGGGAGAAATGCTTCTGAGTTGTCTCTTTGACCAAGAGAACACATCAGTGTGTGCTCTGTGACTGTTTGTTACTATGGCAACACCAGAACCCAATTATGATGGAACATGGGGAAGAGGGAAAAGGGGTAGAAGACTGCAAGACCTGTCCTCATGTTTCCAAATCACTCCGTGCACAAACATGCATGACAGCGTCTATTTCTCCTGTTGGCAGAAGCATGAGTGCCACGGGGGTGGCTCCCTTCTGCCAGGACCCATCCTCCCCAAACACGTGCTTGTTCTTTTATTTTTTTTATAACAATTTGGCTGTTTTGTTTGTTTGATTGGTTGGTGGGTTTGGTTTGTAGTTTTTGAATCAGGGTCTTGCTTTGTAGTTCAGGCTGGCCCTAAACTCACTATGTAGGCCAGGCTGACCTTGAACTCATGGGGATCCTCCTGCCTCAGCCTCCCAAGTGCTGGGATTACAAACATGTGCTACTACACCTGGCACTATGTGACTTGTTTCCTATTAGATCAATATTAGCTAAGTAGCTATACTTTAATCATACAGGTTGATTACAGTTGGAGCCATGTCGTACCCACACTGTGACTTTGCTGTATACATTTCCCATGACAAAAGGCCTGAATGGCCACCCACTGGAGATCTCTCAATAAGCCTCCTGTTTTTAACCTTCTCTGTTCTTTGAAATTATTTCTTCAATTTCGGGGGACACAAACTCAGGATATCTGATATCTAACAGGTTGGCAGTTCTATTTCTTCTACATCACCTGCAACCTCTGCTGTTTCCCCTCGAGGCCAGGTCTTTCTCTGTAGACCAGGTGGGCCTGGAACTCGCAGTCTCCTTCCTCAGCCTCCCCAGTGGTGAGATCATAGGTGTGTGCCCCTGTGTCTGTATCTCTACTACTTCCTCCACAAGCTTTCACATCGGAAGGCGTCTCCCAGGTTAGCCCTGCTCTGCTCTCCACTCCCAGGCCGGCTGCGAGAAGTCCCCATTACGTCCTCTCGGGACATTATTAGTGAGCTCTGCTACACTTACACCCCGTCCTCTACTAGTCTCTTGAGTGTTAGCTCTTCAAAGGACCTCTAAATTCCCTGAGGACACAGATTGTCTTAGATGCCACAACAAAAGGGAGCCACCCCCATGGAATTCATGCTTCTGCCAACAAGAGAAATAGTCTTTATCCTGCATGTCTGTGCACACAGTGATTTGAACACACAGGAATTAATCCTGCAGTCTTCTGCCCTTTTCCCCTTTCCCATCTTCCATTATACCCGGGTTCCAACACTGCCATAGTAACCAACAGTCACAGAGCACACACGTGTTCTCTTCATCGAGGAGACTCACAACTCAGAAGCATTCCTCACATTACCGGTTCACGACTGAAGACTTTCAGAGCTTATCTAGCAGGTAGGCAGCCATCTGGGCAGGGCACTGAAGCCTGGCACTGTGTGTGGTTCTGTACCACTATCTAATAGCCAGAGCCTCATGGGAAAAGGTAGGCTAATTATGCCATTAGCTGTGGGATGGTGACCCTGCAAACGGATATAAGCTTTCTGGAAAGCAATTTGGTATGGACTCTCCTAAGTCTCCAGCATACTGTATGTATGAACTTACATCCAAAGGTCCCACAACAGAAATACAGTGCAGACAGGGCCTGAAATTAATGGGCACAAGAAAGGGTTCCCCCACATGCCTACTACTTCTTCTCTTTTGTGTTCTTTGGTTTTGTTTTGCGCCCAGGGCTCCCTACACGGTCTAGACAGGCCTGAACTTACAATCCTCCTTCCCCAGCCCCTGGAGAGCTGAGATTATAGGCCTGGGCCACCATGCCTGCCTCCCTTCTACTTCCTCCATAACGTGGCCCCTCCAAGGCCTCGTCCCAGGAGGTGACTCCTGGTCTCCTGCCCACTCCCAGCCTGCCGGCATGGGGGGCCCTTCTAAGGCCTCTCACGACATTATCTGTAAGCTCTTCTGCTGCATGTACACCCTGGCCTGTACCACTCACTTGATTTGTATCTCCTCTAAGAGGCCGTGAATTGTCCTGGTGAATTTAGAGCCTCCTTGAGGAGCTACATTTCAACAGTCTAGTAGACGACAGGGTGTGTTGCAGAATTTATTAATAATGTCCCGAGAGGACGTAATGCGGACTTCTCGCAGCCGGCCTGGGAGTGGAGAGCAGAGCAGGGCTAACCTGGGAGACGCCTTCCGATGTGAAAGCTTGTGGAGGAAGTAGTAGAGATACAGACACAGGGGCACACACCTATGATCTCACCACTTGGGAGGCTGAGGAAGGAGACTGTGAGTTCCAGGCCCACCTGGTCTACAGAGAAAGACCTGGCCTCGAGGGGAAACAGCAGAGGTTGCAGGTGACGTAGAAGAAATAGAACTGCCAACCTGTTAGATATCAGATGTGCTGAATCTGTGTCTCTGGAAATCTGTCAATCAATCAATTTCAAGGACCAGTAGATGTTAAGAGTAGGAACAGTTAGGGCCAGGGATTTAGCTCAGCGGTTCGGTGGCCTGCCTCGCAAGTACAAGGACCCGAGTTCGATCCCCGGTACAAAAAAAAACAAACCAAAAAACCAGAGTAGGAAAAGTTTATGGAGAGACAGCTCCTGAGACAGGAGGGGTCTTGAGTTCATTGAGGCCGTTTGTAATTTGTGCAACGTCACGGTGTTGGTCACATTATAATCACCCTATGGAATTAGCTAATTAGCTAATATTGATGCAGTAAGAAAAGTACTGCTGTAGCATGGACAGAACAAAGGCGTGTTTGCGGGGGGATGATTTCTGACACTCTGGTCACACACCGGGGCGACTGATGCCCATTTGGACTCACTGGACCAGTTGGTGTAATTGCAGAATAATTGCAAGTTACTGTTTATCCCTTATGGAGGCGTGGAGACCTGGACCTTGAGGCCTAACCTTCTTCATCTGTATCTCCTGCTACAGTTGAATCCTTTCAGATCCGTCTTGGCTTGAAATCCACTTTGTCTGCAAAGATAATAACTTCTGCTTTTTTCCAGGTTTCTGTTGCATGGAGTATTGTTCTCCATCCTTTAACTTTCAGTGTAAGAATTTCTTCTTGAGAAATGTGTTTCTTATATTCAGCGTATTGTTGGATCTTGTTTCTTGAATTATTCTGCCAATCTGCTGCTTTTGATTTGTGAATTGAGACCAGGGATTGATGGTTATAACTGATGTATAGTGACTTCTCTTTGTGCTATGATTTTCATTTGTTGGATCCCTTTCTTTTCCCTCTGTTTAACTGCTTGCCTTGCCTGGTGGATTCATTCTTTTGGTATTCATGGAATTGTTGTCTTTTTCCAGAACATGCTTCATAACTTTTCAGAGTGCTGGTTTGGTGGTCATGAATTTCTTCAGGAGTTGTTTATCATGGAAGCGTCTTATTTCTCCATCGATTTTGAAAGATAGTTTTGTGGGGTACATCAGTTTGGGTTGGAGATTGTTTTCTTTTAGGGCTTGAAATACTTCACTCCAAGCTCTCCTTGGGTCTGTGTTGAGAAGTCCGCTGTGATTCTGATGGATTTTCCTGTCTAAGTAGTTTGTTTCTAGTTAACACTGTTTAATGTCCTCCTCTTAGGTTGCATTTCTGGAATCTTGACAATTACATGCCTTGGTGTAGTTGTTTTTTCTTTCCTGATCCTGGCTAATTGGAGTTCTATATCCCTCACTTATCTGTGTGTCAGATGCTTTTTCCGTGCTTCAGAATTTTCTGCTATTACTTCTGTTACAGACTTTATCCGTTGGGGCATCTTCTAAGCTTTCACTGATCTGGAGTATCTTATGTAAATCCTATGTTATTCTTCTTTGCATCACCTAGCAGCTGTTGGATTGAGTTTTCACAGTCCTTTGTTTGTTTGTTTGTTTGTATGGGGTTTTTTTGGTACCAGGGATTGAACTTGGGACCTTTTGCTTGCAAGGCAGGCAGCAGAACCACTGAGCTAAATCTCTGTCCTTGTCCCGTGCTGTTTTTAAGATCTCTTTCATTTGATGTTCGCAAACCACAGACCTGTCTTCTAAATCTGATACTCTGTCTCTATTGGTTGAGTCTGCTCTGTATAAATTCAATGCAACTTTTAATCTCCTGATGTCTGTTTAAGTCTGTTTTATGGAACACAATTTTTTCCTATGACGGGCATTCATGATTTTCACCACTTTCTTCAGCTTCTCTATTTTCTTTTTGTCTGTATCTCCTCTGGATTCACTAACCACGTCCTTCCTTAGGGTCATCGTCTCTTTAGCTATTTGTGAAATTCTGATTTTTTTTTCCTAGAGACTCATTCATCTGCTTTGTTACTTCCACTGCTATCATTTCAGAAAGTTTAGCTGGGTGGCTTGTGGTTACTTCCACCTGAATGCCTCCTGGATTTGTGTTCTGGGGTTGCATCTTGTTTCAGTATTTTCTCATTGTTTATTTTTTACAATTTGTGTTTTGCATTGAGACTCGTAAATTGCTTATGGTAGCTTTATTTCTAGTACTGACACCCTTTAAGAAATGAATCCTTTTCATAGATGTATTCTAGGCATTGTTGGCCAACGTTCTGCCTCTTCAATTTATTCTGGATGAGAGGTTGCAGCCTGTCTGGCCTAGCACCCCGTTCTTTGGTCCTGGGCTATGGTACTGTTTATGACTCCCAGACAATCTCAGATTTGTCAAAGAAGGAGGAACAACACTGTGTCCCCTCAGCTAAAGTCGTACAGCCGGGAATAACAATAGCATCAAGCACAGACTAGAAAACAACAGACTGATAACTATGAATTTGCCATTGTTAACCATACGCACAAGATTTATACTTAAATGGAAGTTCTAAGACAGGTCAGACCATTATAAACAGTAAACATCTGCTCAGTGGAGTGATATTCTCCCCAAGGAGAGAAAATTTAAAAGGGGTAAGAGGAAAAAATAGAGAAACAAACAAAGAGAAAGAGATTTGAAGTGAGCTCAATGCTAAGTATGAATTTGCCATTGTTAACCATACGCACAAGATTTATACTTAAATGGAAGTTCTAAGACAGGTCAGACCATTATAAACAGTAAACATCTGCTCAGTGGAGTGATATTCTCCCCAAGGAGAGAAAATTTAAAAGGGGTAAGAGGAAAAAATAGAGAAACAAACAAAGAGAAAGAGATTTGAAGTGAGCTCAATGCTAAGGAAGATTGCCAACTCTCAGGAAACTGTTGAAGAAGAGGGGGGAAAAAGAAGGAAACAACAACAACAAAAAAAAAACAATT